AATGACGGATAAGATCCAATTACAATGGTACCAACCTAAGACAGGAGGCTGACGCCCTGAGGTCAGCTCATCCGAATACGGGTAAGGACCATATGTAGTATTGGACAACCTAAGGCAGGCACAGTCCCTAAGCCACATGCTTGTTGTTTAAACAGAGAGGGGGAGATGTTGAGAGCCACAGCCAAAAGGGCCCCAGCAAACTTCCAGCTACCAGCAAACTTCCAGCTGCCGGCTGATGATTGGCTCACAGCAGCCCCAGCAATATCTAGCTGATTGGCTCCTCTGCAGTGATGTTCATTGGGCTGTTTCCCTGCCCTTCAGACTGCCAGCTGATGATTGGCTCACAGTGGCCCCAGCAACATCTAGCTGATTGGCTCCTCCATGGAGCCGCTCATTGGGGGACTTCTTTGGCTCTGCCCATGCAACCCAGCCAATCGGCCTCAAGAGCAGGAGGATTGTGGGAGGTGGTGAGGTTGGTGTGGGTGAGAGGCTTGTGGAAGCCAGTGATGGCTGTTTTGTTTGGTGTTTGTAGTTCTAAAAATAAAGTTAGTTTCTTTTGACAAGTGGCTCCTGAATTGTGCCCAGCCAGACTTCGGCAGTGCACAATATCAAATTATCATGATATCCCATGAGTATGTATAATTGTGTGAGAACTATAGTGTTAAAAATCAGGTCACCTCAGATGGGACAACCTAATATTCTCTTGTCCAGTTTGGATGCCCTTATTATTGGAACTTCCAGAACTCTGATGAAGAACAATGGTGAGAGTGAACACCCTCACCTTCTTCCACATTTTACAGGAAAAGCTTTCAACTTTTCCCCATTCCCTAAGCTGTCGGGTGCGGGTTCATCATATGTAGCCTTTATGTGTTGAGCTATGTTCCTCCTATGCCTAATTTGTTGAGAGTATTTTTCATCATGCAGGAAGGTTAAATTTTATCAAGTGCTCCTTCTGTATCTTTTGAGATGATCATATGGTTTTTATCCTTCATTCAATTGATGTGATGTGTCATATTTATTGATTTGTGTATGTAGGATCATCATGTGAGAAAAATTGTGGGATATTACTCCTATTTGATCATGGTGTATGATCTTTTTTGATACACAGTACTCATTTTTTTTGAAAAGATACTAGATATGATTTCAATCTGCTTGAATTTTCTAAGTCTTGCTTGTGGCCCAACACATGATCTCTCCTGGGGAGTGTGCTGGAGAACAAATGTATTCTCTTGCCTATGGTGAAAATGTTCTGTGTATGTCTAATGGGTCCATTTACTTAAATGTGTGAGGTCTAGTGTTTTCCTAACTTTCTGTGCAGATTATGCAAAAGTGGTATATTAAAGTCCCTTACTATTGGGGCATGATCTCTGTCATTTCTGGAATCTATAAAAGCTTCATCTCATGAAAGTGAAAAGCAGAATGGGGGTTACTACAGGCTAGAAAGATAAGGGAGATTAACAGATGGAGGAGACAAGTCAATAGACACAAGATTACAGATAGTAGGAAAAAATTCTCATGTTCTATTGCACAGTGAGGTGACTATAGTAGCAATAGTATGTTGTACATTTCAAAATGGCTGGCGGTGAGGACTGAATGCTCTCAGCACAAATGATAACTATTCAAGACAACGGATGTGCTAATTACTCAAATTTGCTCATTACACCTTATATGCAAGTCTACTCCAGAAATACATACAATATTCCATAAATATGTACAATAATTATGTGTCAATTAAAAATACCACTCTTCCATATTTATCCAAAAGAACTAAAATCAGCATATACCAATACAAATTTTTATAACAGAACAATGCAGAATAACCAAGTTATGAAATCAGCTCAGGTGCCCATCAATAGACCACAAGACAAAGAAAATGTGTCATATATACACAATGGAAATTTGCTCAGCCATAAAGAAGGATGCAATGGGGGCATTTTCTGGTGAATGGACAGAATGGAGGACATCATGCTAAGTGAAATAAGTCCTCCAGTGTCAGAAAGTCAGAGGTCAAATGATCTCATATGCAGAGATAGATTGAAATAAGAAATGTTTTAAAAGGTGGGGGATTCCCATGAAAAACAGAAGGGAGGTCCGAGGGCAGATGAAGGGATCAAGGGGGAAGGAGAAGAGATGACAAAGGGAAGGAACTGCAGAATGAAATTAACCAAACTTTGCTATGGGCATGTATACCACAGTGAATCCCACTTCCATACATGCTTATAATGCACCAGTTTTTAAAAAACAATAAGCTGATAAAAGGAAGACCAATAGAGGAGAAGGGAGTCTGGGGTAGGAGAGGAGGGAAAATGGAAATACTGGGGATTAAAATGGGGCTGATTAAGCAATATATATATATAAATGTCTAAATTACCCCCACCATGATGTATTACTCTCATGAACTAATCAAAGCATGAGTTTTTTAATAATCAGTATTCTATAAAAATACTACCACTTTATCATATGTAATTGTTTTTAATAATGGGAAAACAAGAGAGAATGTAAAAAAATTTAAATTTGTTATATTCGGAAAGCTTGGACTCTAATTTAGAAATGCCATAATAAATAAATGCATTTTCATCAAAAAAGTCCCCTTACTATTCTTATATAACAATCTATTTCTCCCTTTACATCCTGAAATACTTCCTTTACATATTTGGATGATCTACTGTTGGGGCTATGTGTTTATATATTTTTTTCTCTCATGGAATCAAACCCTTTATCATTATTTAATGCCCTGCTTTGTGATCTTTACAGTTTTTATCACCAGCTTTAATGGCTCCTGTGGGAAGGGCACTTTTTTTCCCAATTTAGAGATACCCCCAAGGGGACAAAATTGACTGGAAATTTCCCAATCATTTCTTGTCCCCAGATTCCTAGCTGATATACATTGCCTAGAGATTACAACATTAGAAGAATAATAAAAACTAGACAAAATGCTCTGAGAATTCAGACTCTGGAATTCAGGACACACTGCTCATCCTGATGTCGTCCATCCACCAATCCAAGGACAGAAGGAAAATCTCTTCTGCCTCAGGAACATGACTGTGTTCTGTCCCCTGATGGGGAGGGCACAGCGGCTGCCTGCACCACGCACCTGCCTGCAGGACAAGATCACAAGCTCATCTGCCCAGGACCACAGTAGAGAGAGCAGGAGCAGCAGGGTGAGGTCTCTGCAGATGAAAACAGAGGAATGAGAGGCGGCTCCTCTCGGGGCATCACCTGGAGCCAGGAAACAGGAAAGTTCACTGTGTCAGAAATTTCCAGGTGCCCAGCCTGAAAGAAGGAAGCCTCAGGGATGACTGCAGCCTTCTCTCCAAACGCCTCCCTTGCCCTCTGCTCACTCTGACCTCTTTCCACATTCCTCTTCTTCCTCATCAGGAGCCCACTGCTAGTTCCCCTGGGGGCAATGCTGCCTTCCCCTAACGTCTTTCCCAGTGTCCCGTCTCCCGCTCTCCCACAGGTCCTGCAACATCACAGTCACCTTGCTCCACCCACTGGCATGGTCAGTGACCCCTCCATCCACCTACATTCATTTCTGCCATGTGCACAAGTGACACCTCTCTCCTCCCGTGTGTTTCTATGCAGACAAAATGCTGTCAATCAGCAGAAAGGACTGATAAATCTTCTGCCACTGGTAAGTGCAAATGAACATGACTTCCTATAATATCCTGTTCACCTTCAATGAGCCAAACCCTGGTCTGTGGGTGTGACATGTTTGTACTGTATGGAATACAACCTTTATGCAGGGTGGATTGGTTAATTGCTGCAAATAAAGAAGAAAATTAAGTCTGTGTGCTATTAGTTAGCCTTATCAAAAAGACTTCCGAGTAGTTAGACTTTGCAAACAGTTTTAGGTTGTTCATATGTTTCCACAACATATGAAGCTTCGGTTACTTTTTTCCTTCTGTGGTCACATTGGTTTGAAATTTCAGAACAATATTGGATAGTGGTAGCAGCAGGTGTATGATCTTATGCAAATTCATGATCTTCATGTAATTTCCTCAGCTTCATGTGAGAGTGGATATAGCTGATAAACAAGAGAATTATTTTTGTCATATTTAAGCAAGTTAATTGTACTTTTCCAGATCTATTTCCACAAAATTTTTTCTGCATCTAATTATATGATCCAATTTTAGCTAGAGGATCATTATCTTGCTGATTGTATTATTAGAATGAGTGACCAGCATGAAATATTCGTTGCTTTCTTGGATCATATGCCACTTGTTTATCATATTTGACACACAATGAATACACTTTGTGACTTTTTCTACTTGTGCTAATTAATGCAAATCATGGCTGCTTTGTCTTGTAGTGCTACAGAACAAGCAGTTGTCGTTTGGTATCAGGGTTAACATAGACTCGGAAAATTCCTTGGCACATTTATTTCCATGTGATTCCCAGTAATTTATATGCATTGAAAATAGGTGAGATTTCAAAATTACTGAATTTTAATTTTGGTGACGTTCATCATTCATGAACATCACCAAAATTAAATGAAGAAATTGACTCACCCAATAATTCATCATTGGGTGATGAATTGGGTGAGTCAATTTCTTCATTGATTGGTCCATTATACTTTTTAATTAAAAATTAACCAAACCTACAGAAAATGGGGCTTCCTCATCATTAATGGGAATTATACAGACCTGGCTTTTAACATTTCACCTAAATGGTGGTAATTACCAGGACATTTAAAGTGAAGCACAAAAGTCATTCCTAAGACACCTGAGATCAGGAAGGCTCTGACCAGGTGCAGGGGAGTCCCCAGGTCCAGTCGGCTTTGGGGAGTAAATTAGGTTTGCTGATTGAGATTTCCAGCTGGTGGTGGCAACAAAAGAGAACTACAGTCACTAAGGAACCCCAGTGTGACCCACAGCAGAAGAGGGGCCACCAAGCCAATGCCTCCTAGAGCACTGGGTCCACGCCCAGGCAGCCAGGGTCCTGAGGTGGCCGTGCACTTCCTCTAGCTGCTGCTTCTCCCCTGGGGACATTTACTTTACATGGAACCAGAAAACCACACGGGGACTCCAGGATTTCTCCTCCAGGGACTTTCTGAGAAGCCAGAGATGCAGTCGGTTCTCTCTGGGCTGTTCCTGTCCTTGTACCTGGTGACCATCTTTGGCAACCTGCTCATCATCCTGGCCATCATCTCAGACTCCCACCTGCACACGCCCATGTACTTCTTCCTCTCCAACCTGTCCTTTTCTGACATCTGCTTCACCTCCACCACCATCCCCAAGATGCTGGTGAACCTCCAGACACAGAGCAAGGCCATTACCTATGCAGGCTGCATCACCCAGATGTACTTCTTCACTGTTTTTGGACTGCTGGACAATTTACTTCTTACCGTGATGGCCTATGACCGCTTCGTGGCCATCTGCCGGCCCCTGCACTACACGGTCCTCATGAGCCCCAAACTCTGTGCTCAGCTACTTCTCCTGAGCTGGCTCGTCAGTGTGCTGGGAGCCCTTCCTGAGAGCGTGAGTGTGCTGAGGCTCTCCTTCTGCACAGACGTGGAAATCCCACACTATTTCTGTGAATTCCCTGAGGTCCTCAAGCTCGCCTGCTCTGATACTTTCGTCAATAGCGTCATATTGTACTTAGTGACGGGCATCATGGGGTTTTTCCCTCTTGCTGGGATCCTTTTCTCTTATTCTAAAATTGTTGCTTCTGTCCTGCGGATCTCCACAGCAGGAGGGAAGTACAAGGCCTTTTCCACCTGTGGTTCTCACCTCTCAGTTGTCTCCCTGTTCTATGGAACCTGCCTGGGGGTCTACCTCAGCTCCACAGGGACACGCACCTCGTGGACAGGGGTGTTGGCCTCCACCCTGTACATCCTGGTCACCCCCATGGTGAACCCCTTCATCTACAGCCTGAGGAACAGGGACATGAAGAGGGCCCTGGGAACATTTCTGTGCAGCTCCTTGTCCTGCAGCAGACAGGAATACTGACCCTGTGCCTGCACAGTGTGGTGAAGAGTGACGGAACAGGGCGCTTCACGGTGTGGACGCTGCCTCTCCTGCTGGGCTCCAATGCAGGTGCTTTGCTTTTTGTGCTTCTTGGCCATACACACGGATTTTATGATAAAGGGTGTCTATAAGTCTATTGCCTATTCTGTATTTTTTCTTCCTTTCAATCTGTAGAAGCAATTACTTGTTGGTTTGACTGTTATTGTTGTTGTTTTCTTTTGTTTTTGTTTGAGACAGGATGTCTCTGTGTTGCCCAGGCTGGTGTTAAACTCACACTCTGCCTCTGCCTCCCAAGGAACTGGGATGACAGGTGTGCACACCATGCACAGCTGCAGTTAACCTGCTCTCAGATTTGTGTGTGTCTCTGTGTGGGTGTGTGTGTGTGTGTCTGTGTGTGTCATTTTCTAACCTGGGGCCTTCCTTTTCCAGTATGTTCATGGCTCACCTGTACATTTTCAATGAAATCCAGTGTTGCTCCATTTTTAAAATTACTTTTCCATACTTTAGATCACAATTTCCGATCACAGGAACTATTTGAGCTCAGGAGGTGATAGACATGGACCCCAACTGTGGGGAGCCACTCTGAATGCCTCACACCTTCCATCCTGAAATGAAAGGCTCTGACCCATCACTACATTTCCTAGTGACTTGGGAATTGTCCCAGTTCAGGAAGTTGAGGGCCTGTCTTCAGATGTAGGTGACATCCCTTGGGTTGAATCACACTCACCTGTCCCTTGTAACGCTGCCCCTTCTGGCCTTTTGGGGATAGAACTTTCTAAGAACAAGGGTCCCCCCAATACAATCCCACATCTGAACGTGCTCGCTCTCTCTTGTTTGTGACTTCCTCTTGCTCGCCCATTGGGGAGCCTGAGGCCAAGAGTGGAGAAAATGTGGGTGTGATGACTAATTGTAAAATTTGTAACCAGTTCTCTGTGGTGTAGAATCAGAGAGGAAAACAGTTTACATTTCTGATGACAACAAAAGTTTACTAATTATGGGCTGGCATTGTGGCTCAGTGGTAGAGCACTTGCCTAGCACGTGTGGGGCATTGGCTTAAGCCCCAGCACCACATAAAAAAAACTACATAAACAAAACAAAGGTATTGTGTCCAACTGGAACTAAAAATCTCTTCTAAAAAGTGTATGAATTATACTTTATGGATTTGAACCAGAAACAGTAAGTCACATGGGGAAATAATTTGATGTGCCAAGAAACATCAGTTTTATACATTTTTCCAAGAGTGGAACATGCTAAAATAGCATTGAAGACTCTGAAAACCCTTACTGTGCCTACTTGGAGCCTTCATGAGTGGATCAGAGACGATGTTCATGAGTCTAACACAGGTGGTGGACAAAGGCTCTGAGCTGCCTTCCTGGGTCCTAGGACGATGTCCCCTGCACCACCACCCCTGTCTCCCAGGAGCTGCTCAATGCTGTACTCCCTGTGCCAGGAAACCCTTGTGACATCACAGTGACCTGAGCCAATGAGGAACAAGGTGATGGTCACAATGGCTGCTATCTCTGGAGCATCTGATCTGGGCAGGTCATTTCTTGTGAGGTATAACCTACAACTTAGTTCACACAGAAACACCATAAAGAAGGGGGGAATGACCCAGTTTGTATATAAGGAGCCAAGGTCAGTAAGTTGGACTTCCTGTCATGAGGGAAACATTCAGGATGCAAATGAAGAAGCTGAGCTCAACAGGATCCACATATGACCACCGAAATTCAGAACTGAGGTAGTGAGATGTTCACGGTGGAGAAGGCTTCAGAACACCTACATCTAACTCTGACGATGGACCACAGCCTCAGTGCTCAATAATGGAATCACCATGTGACCCCGCAGTCCCACCACTGGAAATGTTCATCCAATGCCACAGTCCGGCTGCAGCAAAATAACCGGGGGGTGACAGGCAACTTGTGTACATTGATACAGCAGGAGTGGGAGCCATTTATTATAGGACAGGAGTGGTATATATACATTACACATGGCTTATCTTAATTAACATAAACTAGATACAGCAGTCAACCAATAAGGAATCTCCAAACTTAATGGCTCGCTGGCATTACTTCACAAACCACTCCCTCTGTCGAAATGCCAGGCACCATCTTGACTTGTTTACAGACCCTAACAATCCAAAGGAAATGAAGGTGACATCTCAGAGACTTCTGCACTTCCATACTCAGGGCAGCATTCACCAGAGTAGGTAGATGTGGAATCCACTTAGGTGTCTATCCATGGATGGATGGATAAAGAAAACACCATATGTATACTCAGGGGAGTATGATTCAACCATAAAAATGGAAGAACTTCTGTCAACTGTGACAACACAGATGGAAATGGAAGTCCCCAGGGAAGTGAAAGTGAGACTGGAAGACAAATGCTGCATGATCTCTCTCATTGTAGAATTATAAAATGTTAATTCATAGAAATAAAAAGAGTGAAATGGTGGTCACTGGGGACTGATGTGGTTTGTGGGGTTGTGGGGAGAGATGTTGGTCAAAGGATCTGAGGTTCAGCCAGACAAGAGGAATAGGTCAGGAGACCTACAACCTGGTGACCATAGTTAGCAACAGAATCTTTAACAGTGGTGAGTGGATATCGAGTGTCTCACCACAGAAATAACAACTACAGGAAGTGATGCACATGATGATTAGCTGGATGCAGTTACTCCACAGTGCATGTGTTCTTGAAAACATTCTGTTATAGGCCATTATCACAATTTTTCTGTGTAGTATCAAAAAACAAGAGATCCACCAGCCAGGACTTGCAGACTCAATGCCAACTGGGAGCTCTTATTGTTAGGTGCAGAACAGGCTGAACTATGTAATCTGCAGGGCAGGCTGATCAAATGTTAGCTGCAGCATGGCCCACACACTCAAACCTCCCTCTGTCTGGTCCTTTATCACCTGTTTGGGTCAAGTCTGAACATTCAACCCCACTCAAGGCTGAACACTTTACCCCCCTTGTGCCAACAAGGCAGCTTGCAGACCCAGAGGCTCCATTAGATTTGGGCTATAAAAACTCCCTCCTGCCGGGCCCCCTATCTCTTTCTCTCTCTCTGTCTCTCTCTCTGTCTCTCTCTCTCTCTCTCTCTCTCTCTCTCTCCTTTCTTTTCTCCTTTGTTGCACTGCTGCAATAAAGATCTCTTGGTTGCTCCAAGTGTTATGGTCTCTTTCCTTTCATTGGTGCCAAAACCCGGGAGAGGATTAAAACCCACTTTTGGGTCCCTCTTCCTTCAGAAATGCCACTCACTTAATGGCCTGAACCCATTTTCTCGATTGCCAGAACTCCATCCACCCCTGGCCATCGATTGGTGAGTTTCCCCTTCCTGGAGCCCTAAACTCAATGGTGGTATCAGGAGGATTTGACCATTGATTGTTGGGCAAACCTCTTTGCCCACCTGCAGGGAAGAAAACACCCCACCACAGCCTTCAAGGCCACAGTGGCCCTCAGGGACTCCTTTCTTGGGCAGATTAGACTCCTAGGTTCAAAATTATTCCCCTTCCCCTTCCCAGCTGGTAGTTTACCAACATAGGCTTTGTAGGTCTCCCTCAAAGGGATGAGTAACCTCCAGGGACACAAGACAGAGAACTGAACATCACCCCACCCAGACCTTCACGGCCTCGGTGGCTCTCCTAAAGCCCTAGTCCTCCTGTGACTCCACTTTGTTTTATGACTTCATCCTATAAAACAACCATGCCAAGTAGAAGAGTCATGACTGGGGCAAAATGTTCTTTTCCTTTTGCTATAGAAACCTTTAAGAACACAAAAGTACCTAATGGGGTATTGTTTCTGTAACTAGGGTAACGGGGCTCTGTTTCTGTACCTGGGGTGACTGGGCTAACTGTGATTGGTTAGGCTTCCCTCCGCTTGACTGCACTGTCCCGCTTCTGTAACCTGGCTTGCTTGCATTGGCTAGACCCCCCGAACATCCCTTTTGCGGTTTTCAGGCTTATAAGGAGTGCCCTTGCAATTGTTCGGGGCTGATCAGGGGAACAGCTTTATGTTCTGGTCAGCTGACACTGGTGTGCTTCAATAAAGGCTTGATTCGATTATATATGAGTGGTCTGGAAGTCAGTTTATGAAACCCTGGGACGAAGCTTTAACTATAACACTCGCACCTTCAAGATTCGGCTGCTAGAGAGATGCTTACCCTCCCCTTCCTCTCTCTTCCCCTGTCTCTCTCTTTCCCCTCTTTTTGGTCCTGGGAGTATCCAGCCTCTCCAGGAGGGGTCCCGAAAAGCCTTGGCCAAGGTCTTCCACGGCTCCAGCTCCATCCAGGACAAAAGCCTCGACTGTCAGGACTCAGTGACGACAATCTCTGCAGCTCGAACCTGCCACTAAGGTACTCCTGATTTTTGGCTCTAGCGGGGACCCCCCTTTTGCCAATAAATCAGTTTCCTCCTTCTCTCTTATACTATCTTTGCGTCTCCTTTCTTCTCCTCTATACTACGTTTGCAACATGGGTAATGTGTCCTCTCTGCCGGTTGACTTTCCCCTACAATGCCTCTTGGATAACCTCAAAACCCTCTCCTTGACATTTGACATCAAACCTCAAAAATTGATTGCCGCAATCCGGCTGGGCACAGAATCAAGAGCCACTCAAGCAGGAACAAAACTTTATTTTTGAAAATGCCGCCAATACCCCGTA